GAACAGCAAATTGTTGACGGAATTTCGTAACAAAATTGACATACCTTTTTGGTTGGAGCCGAAAAAAATATATAGCTACAAACAATATGTTTTTTTTTTCTATTGATGATTAATGGGCATGGGTGAATCTTAAAGAAAGTTAACAGTAATCTGAATTAACTTGTGTATTTTGATGGAACAGTGCAATTGAAAATGGTGTTTCGGACGTTACATTTTCCGTAAACAATGTAGACCTTCATTTAACCCATTAGAACAATGAATTATTGAGATTGTTTATGTTTTGAATAAGCTTATTAGTTACTCCAAGTCATTAAATTAAAAGAAAATGTAGTTTAATTATAGTAGCGCTTATATTAGAAATATACTCAAAATTTGAAAAAAGTTGTCTCATTATCCGCAAACAATTTTGTAACGTCCCGAACAACTTTCAATTTGAAGTAGCAGAAAATATATGAACTGCAAGACCTATCTATTGTAACATTTTTTTAAACATTTCATTGTGGCTACCCACCAAAAAAAAAGAAATTTGCAATACACTACAATACTATTTTATAGTTAAAATCAATTTTCCGTTAACAGTTGTAACGTCCGAAACAAATGTAACGTCCGAAACAAAAAATACCAATTAAATGATGATAATCCATATTTTAGGGTATATAGAGTGGCTAAATCATTATAAAATAAGTTATTATAAGTCTTAACACAAGTCAAAACACATATCAGGTCTTTCAAATCCAATAATTTTGTGTAAGCTCAAGAAGGGTGTTTCGGACGTTACACTATTTGATTGTTAACACATAGTTTGCAAATTTCAACTAATTTTCGATCATATGTGCAAGTTACGATTTAACAATGCACACTCCTGTTAAAAACACTATTTTGATAATTTTATTTAGATTTAAATATAAAAATATGAAGAAATATGATGCAAAAATCAAATTTTCCGTAAAATATCTAAATTTTCTGCAAAATTGACTTATAAAACCTAAAATATTGAAGCCACACTTTGTGATGCAAAGCATGGCTGGCTGCTTAAGTATATCCTTAATTGTAATTTTTCCGAAAAAATCTCAATAAAAGTGACTCATAAAAAATATTCAGCCATTTTAACAGCACTTTCTGGTATGCTGTTAGCACGTCTCGGACGTTACATTAAACTGTTAACAGACATTTTCATACTTTAACTAGTTTAAATGAGAGGCAAAGACAGATGTGAGAATAGCAAATTTCAATTTTTCAACCTCTCCTCTTGCTATTTACATTACTGTGTGTTCGCAAATCATCAGGTTTTCATTTTTACAGAGGTTGTTCCAAATAATGTCATATAATCAAAGATTGTATGGTCAATCTAAACTATTTGGTAGGTTACAAAAGCTCAAAATCACCCAATTAAGCAATTCCCAGTGTACATGTACATGACATGGATATGTTACAGGCTTATAAAGTTGATAAAATCAAGCAAATTAAAATGTTTTTCTAAAAATGTATGGGGAATTTCATCTGAAATTACATTTTTTAAAAGGGCACTCAGTACACGTAACTAATCTGTGTACAAGGGATTACTACTGCCATTATCCAATACTGAAAAGAGCATTAATACCTTTATGATCCTAAACATACAGTTTCTTCCTCAAATTTAAAAGAAGTATAACAAGATTATAAATAAGTTAAGAACATATTTAAGTTTTTATGTTTAATATTAAATAATCGAACTTTAAAACAAAAAACAATTTCATTTCATATTCATTTACTATATTTCTTATAGATTTTAGCATATATAATCCGTTATTTGTTTTTTTTTATGAATAGTATTAATATGTTCTTGCCATGATAACCTTTCATCTAAAATTACCCCAAGGTGTCTACACTTACTAACTCGAGTTAACAAAGTATTATCTTTAGTAATGTTTAAATCATTCTCTTTAACTTTATCCAGACGTTGTTTCGTACAAAATAAAATGTATTCAGTTTGCTTTATATTCAAATTTAGTTTGTTTTGTATCAACCACTTTTTAACATATTCTAGATCTTCGTGTATCTTCTCACTCAATTCTATAGTATCATTTGCCGAACAATATATTACCGTATCATCAGCATACATGCTTACTTTACAGTGGGTGAGGCCACGTGGCAAATCATTAACATGTAGTATGAAAAGCAGGGGTTCTAAAATGGATCCTTGGGGAATTCCACATTCAACTGGCAAAAAATCTGACATTGTACAGTTAACAGATGTAGATTGTACTCGACCATGTAAATAGTTCGAAAACCATAGCTGTGATGGTTCATCCGACCCGTACATATATTTTCTCAATAGTAACACATAGTCAACGGTATCAAAAGCCTTTTTTTAAATAGATCTATAGCATTAACGCACATACAATTTGGCCTTCATCTATAATAATAATAATAATAATAATAATTAACCGTTCTTGCATAGCGCATAACACATAGTATTAAAACATGTCCCTAAGCGCTCTAGAGAAAAACACAACAGAATACAAAGACAAGACGTACTGGGTAACAGACAAAATGGATGAATTAAATGTTAAATAAGTGCGTCTTTAAAGCAATCTTAAACTTAACAATGGAGTCAATGTTTTTTAGATGTTCCGGGAGATTGTTCCATGAAGTTGAGGCAGTGTGAGCGAAGCTGCGTTCACCACATGACCAATACACCAATCTATGCTTGTTAACCAGTCATCTGATATATTTAGTAGAGCAGTAGCTGTAGAGTGATTGGGTCGAAATCCTGACTGGTAAATGCTCAACAATGTATTGGCATTTAAGTAGTCATAAATTTGATTGAAGACCATTCTCTCTAAAACTTTTGATAGTATGGGTAAAATCGAAATAGGTCTATAGTTACACAATTCCTTAGACCCTCCTTTGTGAATTGCAACAATTCAGGCTTTTTCCCACATATTATACACAATTCCTGGATGCAAAGACCTAGACGAGTTAATTATAGACGTCAGAGGCTGCACAATGTACGGGGTGGCCATTCTAATCAGCTTAACTGGAATCATGTCACACCCCATTGCCCTTTTCAACGATAGGCTATTTAGTACCTTTAAAACGGCTTGTAGGTAAACCGCCAGAGCCCAGAGGTCCCTATACTGATTTAAGGTGGAGGTGCTATGTCATTAACTTGGGTTCTAATCCCAGCCCGACACTAAAACGATTTTTGGCAAGACATTAATCCACTTTTGGCACTTCCACCCTGGTGCAAATAAGTATACCTAACAATTGTTGGGGGTAATATGAATTGCAGAGTCCTTATGAAGAGCAGCAATGATGCTGATGGGGCTGATGAGGCTGATGAGGCTTCAGGGGCCGACTGCTTTACAAGCTTGTTTTTATGTAGGTCACATGATATTTCTCTCAATTAAATCATTACTCTATATTGACCATTTATCTTTATGTTATTTATAATAATAATAATAGAGTATATTTAAGAAGCGCATAATTAATTGTAAATTTCTCTATGCGCTTTACAGTTTTGTACAATCATAACAATTTGAATATATAAACAACACTAATGCAACAATAAATAACAAAATAGATAAGCAAATGACAACAAACATTTATGAAAAAGTAAACCAATTAATGCACCTATAATTACACCTACAAAATTAATTGACATTACATATAACAAATTCAACAAACGGACAGACACTCATCATGTCGAATCAGCCTCCCAACCAGCAACGGACAAAGCAGCTCTAGGAAGAGACCCTTGAAAACAAATAGGTTTTCAGGGCTCTTCCAAAGCCGTCAATACTCCCAACAACTCGAAGCTGGTCAGGAAGCTGATTCCACAAGACAGGCGCCGCCGTTGAAAAGGCACGAGAACCATATGTTTGGGTTGATGTGGTAGGGATAGTCAGGAGATTCTTTGTTGAGGAGCGGAGATTTCTACGGGGTATGTATGAGCAAATAATATCAAGAAGATAAGTCGGGGATTTAAGAATCATTACCTTGTAACACAACATAAGAACTTTAAAACAATTCTTTCTTTTACAGGTAACCAATGAAGGCGAGTCAACATGGGTGTTACTGGATCTCTCCCCCTTATTATTATTTACACATATTTATTATGTGTCATTGATTTTTCACATACAAACAAAATTGTACTTTATTTTGAAATGTATGATTATGTAACATGAGAAATATGAAAAAAAATATGTTGGCGCATCTGCGTACAAACATACAGTAACTTGATTAAACTACTTGAACACACACTCTGATTCTGTCTCGTTTCATCTCGGCTTTGGTCTACTTTTAGTAAGATGTCATACTTAAGAGTAGACAGTCTCATAACTAGATGTATGGAACATGTTGGTAATCAAAATTAGTATTATTGTAAGTCATACCGGGTAAGGGGTAAACTTGTTCATGAGAAACATTACTTAGCCAAGGGGCACTACCGCCTTAAGTTCACTTTAAATCCCCCTCCGCCCCTGCTTTGAGACCACATGACTACATCTGAGCAATCAGACCATCTTTTAGTTTTTCATATCCGTATGCGTCATTTGGAAATGTAGTCCAAGGTAGGAAAAGTTGATCGCAAATCGCAGCAAAGGCCCGTGTGAAGTTACAAGGACCCCGCCCCCCCCCCACTCAGTGTTATTTAGGGTACGCGTGTGCTCGTTCCCTCTTTTTGAAAGCACCCCCTGAGGACTCAGTAGTGCCAACATTTCCGAACCCCCTTTCGTGGGCTTTTCCTGCCTTGGAGACCCCCCCCCCCCCCTAAATACGGAAAATACTCAATGTACCCCCCTAAATTCGGAATAATTTCTCAGAAGTCCGAATAGATGAGAGAAAAAAAGAAAAACAACCCCTTTTTAAAGAAATCTCCGGGTGAAAAGTCAAATACACCCCCTTTTTTATAATTCTCGGGCCGGACTTTGTCGCACGAAAAGTACCCCTTTACCGGACATTTTGGTAACACGCATGCGGTCATTCCGATCCCGGAGTGAGGTGGGGGGGGGGGGGGGGGGGGGCGGGACAAGGACATGCTATTAGGATCTGGTACAAGTTGGTTGTATTGGACACTGCTTCTGATCGTCGTATGCCTCAAAGACGTTGAAAACGTTGACGAGAAGGAACATGAATATGGTGAGTACGGACACCCCAAGCTGACCCAGTGCACTGGAGTAGATCAAATGCTTTCGATTGTCTGGGCTGTGACGTAATATCCAGGCATAAGACGCGCGGGAGTAGTTATGAAATACACCGGCGCCTATCCAAGCAACAACCTGGGGGGGGGGGGGGGGGAAATAATTTTAAAAAGAAAGGAACGAAAATGAGTTTTTGTTAATGTGTAGAATAATGTAGGGATCGAGATAAAAACGAAAATGAATTTATGTAAGAATAAACTAAAGAGGCGACAAAAGAAGACTAAATATTAAAGAAGATATACACAAAACATGAAGATAATGATAATATTATGAGTAATAATAATAAAAATGATAATAACAATGATAATAATAATGATAACAATACTAATGATAATAATAATATTAACAATAATAATAATAATAATAACAACAATGATAATTATAATCATGATAAAATGATAATTTTAATAATGATAATAATAATGATAATAATGATAATAATAATAATAATAAAACTAGTATTAATAATAATGATTATAATAATAATATCGATTATTTAGAAGCATTAAAATAAAATACCATAGCGCTTACAAAATGTGAAGGGATACAAAAAACTCACGAAATAATTAAATCACAATACTGAGAGAAGAAGTATGTCTTATAGGATCTTTTGGAATTGGCAAGACAGGTTAATTCTTTGATGAAAAGTTGGACATTGTTCTATATTTGCAAAGCAGCTACAGTAAACATATTTCGGTAGATAAGAGTCTGAGGGAATCGTTGGGAATGATAATCTATTAGTATCTATGAATCCCAGCGATGATCTACAATATGTTCTACAAAGCAACAACAAAAAGGTGAGAAAAAAGAGGGGTATATAAAAGAGAGATGAGGAAGTGAATGAAGAAGGGTTAGAAGTTGACATGAAAGGGTGAAAGATGGAGTAGTAAAGTAGGATGAGGAGGGGAAATATGAGGTGATTAAGGAAGAGACTTAGGGGAGGAGGAGGGGGTGTGGAAGAGGAGTGGGTGAATGAATAATTGAAGAGAATGAGGAGGAGGAGGAGGAGGAGGAGGAGGAGGAGAAGGAGTAAAAGGAGGTCTGGAAAAATCGGAGGAGCTAGAGGGAAAAGAGAAGGAAGGGTGAAGAACGAAATGCAGGATAAAAGAAGTGGATGGTGGGGGGGGGGGTAGGAAGCCAAGTATATAAAGTGATAGATAATACTTACAATTAGTACTTTTCCTATGATAAGTTCACTAAATGGAGGATACGGACTCATTGCGGCCACAATAATGCAGTACAGACTCGAAATGGACCCTAATAAAAAGGTCCAAACCACCACTTTGTAGCTGTATATAGGTTTCAGTTGAAAGAGTGGAAAAGCGAGAGCACCGGTTATTTCTCGGAGAGGCGTCAGCAAGCCGTACGTCTGGCTACCGTATGCGCTGGCGGAATACCCTTGTATAGGAGATAGGATGCCGTACAAGATGCCCATGTTTATGATGGACATTGCATAGAGGAATGCAACCTGCCAATTCGTAAGTTCTCTTTCCATAAAGTCCCCATTGTTTGGTCGCGATCTGGCAATTCCCTCTGACTCGGGAATTTGTGTCAAAACCACAAGTTCGTCCATTTCACCCGAAGAGGTGTCCCGTGATTGGAAAAGCCCCCCGCATCCATCTTTTTTAAGATGGTGGCCATCTCGTTGAGGAGCGTATTCCCGTCTGGCGCAAGGCAAGTTATTCAGGCAAATGAATGAGATGTGACATGAAAGCATCATCGCGAACAGAAAGGCAAAAAAAATTTTGGGGCCAAAAAGAAATTCGGGAGCTACTTCACGCCAAGAGGTACAGCTATACGACAATGATGAATTTCCAACCACAGTTTCGTTCATGAATGTAAAATTAGCGACGCATGTTTCTTTACTGCCCCCTGCATACTGGATAAGTACAACGCATCCTGGAAGAATGCTACTCATTCCTTGACCAAGCAACAACCAATTCAAATACTCCGGCTTCAGGAGAGATTTATACCCCGAGGAAGTGTTACCCAATATCATATCGACCGTCAAGACGAAAAATATATTGATCATGAAAGCCACGCTGTGGGGTTGACCGGACAAGTATGTCCTTGAGTCCCAGAAGAATATCAGCAAAAATGTCGCAATGGTTCCTATGAAGGTGATGACGTAGATAAAGGAGATCTCTGGTCTATAGACGCGGGTAGATTCAAGAAACTTGATGCAGATCAAGAATGCGACGACGACAACGAATCCACATACAAGGGGGATCATGATGTAAGAAGTGATGCGGTTCTTTTCGGGCAGGCCTAGGGCGACCAGGACAGGTATTTCGGACCACACTCCTGACATCGTCATACATGATCCACTTCCGAAGATGATGACGAGGAGAATGACAAAACTTCGTTCCACTTGGCTGTTGATACCATCTTCCATCTTGCTTTCGAGGGTAGAGGTTTGGTCTAAGCTTGTATTGGTTTTGAGCTTTTTTAGATCACCAATCGTATTCACCCACTGTTCACATATCAGTATTCTACTTACGATCCGTTACGAACGACAGCTAGTTTACTTGATCGATATTAACATCCGATCATCATCGTCGTTGATACAGCTCTAACCCCTAGACGGTGATTTGATCTGTGAAAGGGGTGATAGAAACAATTATATGAAAAATGATTTATTATAACTGATTTTGTGTTCTTGATAGTTCGTTATGGGAGATAAAGAACCTCTCATGTAGTGGCGTATCCTGGGTCCAGAAATTGGGGGGGGGGGGGGGGGGGGGGGTGGCGCAGTACATTCTTACTAGGTGGATATATCAAGAACCTCGATGATCAGCTTAGGCGCTTAGCTCTTCTTTTTTTTTTGGGGGGGGGGGGGGGGGGGGTCACAGCGCGTTATCTTAAGCATGTTAATAGTTAGAGTGTATATGCTGGTGGGGGTAAGAGCATTTTGTTTGTCAGACAACTCAAATCAAATCAATTCAAATTGCTTTGAAATAATATCCTTTAAAGACCGTCAACACTACTGGGCCAGAAGGGATTAGACCACACAGCGAGGTCACTGACAGGTGGCTATCTCATTAACTCAGCTCTCAACTAACATAAGAAAAAGAGGATCATGGGGGACCAGCAGGCACCGATTAGGGAAGTTTTCTATATAGAGGGAGCAAGTAGCTACAGGTAGGACAGTGGGGCTTAAGTTTGGATTATCTTAAATATTTATTTACAAATCAAAGAGGCAAAATACGCTGTAATTTGTGTACCAAATTCAATCAAATATAACCAATAAGTTTGGATTATCTTCAATATACATGTATCCCCCCCCCCCATTAAAAAAAAAAAATCGGTTATATACTGTATATCATTAAAACATGGTATGCATGGTAATTTCAAAGAAGGGAGGAATACCATGCTCTCTTAAAGAGAAGGTTGAGTTCTGGGAAGAGGTGAAAAATAATTTGTGAGCATTACTCATTCTTATTATGCAAGTGTGGAAGAACATCAGTTAAGACATGTTCCCTGAAAAGCATGGCTCTTCAAATGCCTTCATATTCTAAATATGCATGTAACATCGTAAAAATCGGGGGGGGGGGGGGGGGCCGGCTTTTTACGCCACGTGTTCGTGTAGTCCCATATACATCTTTCTGTGCAAGTGTTTGTAACTTTACCAAGACTTGGCCAAATTTCTTATCATTTTGATGATTCCAGAACCTTGCAATACACACAAATTCTTATATGCTAGATGATCAACCTTTTCTGGTCGGTTCCACACCGTTTCTTTCACAATGCAATCGCATGACCAGAACTCAACTTCATCTTTAAGATCAACAACAATCAAATAAAGCAAGCCACCTCTGTTAATTACCTCGGGACTACAATTACCGACGATGAAAGAGGCGAGCAAGAAATCAAGAGAAGGATTGCACTTGCAAAATCAACTTTCTCCAAGTTAGAAAACATCCTAAAGAATAAGAAGCTGAAGATGAAAACAAGACTCCGCGTACTCAATTGCTACGTGTATCCAGTTCTAATGTATGAATGTGAAGCTTGGACCCTGACATCAGACCTAAGAAAGCGACTGGAAAGTTGTGAAGTTTGGTTCCTGAGAAGGATGCTAAGAATTTCATGGACAGAAAGAATTTCTAATGATGAGGTATTTGCCATGGCAGGAACAAGACGAAAGCTTCTGAATAATTAAGAGGTCGGCAGCTGAGCTTCTTGGGCAATGTTATACGGAAGAATGGTTTGGAAAATCTTGCACTGACTGGAAAAATTTAGGGGAGGAGGAGTAGGGGTAGAAGGAGGATTCTGTGGATGAGTAGCTTAAGGAGTGGGATTTCTGAATGTGGAATTGATCTCGGGGAAAATGAATTACTTCATATAATATGGGATAGAGAGTTGTGGCACTCCATGGTCGCCAACGTCTCAGGATATGGCACATAGAAGAAGAAGAAGATCATTAAAACTGATATGCAGTCGAATATATTATTTAAATGTAATGAATACGAACAGAAATATAGTATGATACTTTTTTTTATTGCTTTGTGCAGCTGTTGTGTTTTTGGTTAACGATGTGCATGGGCAAATTTCACGGTTTATGCAAATCTTATCTTATCTTACAAAGACACGTGCAATGATAGCGTTGAATCTGTTCAGAATCTGATCACCACATGAGAGTATGTGGTGTGCTTTAAAACAAAAATTAATTCGGCAATTATGTGAAAAATAGTCTATTTTGGTTGCCATTATTATTATTTTTGTGACAAAGTCGTGAAAATCCACAAAAATATTGAAACAAGATTAGATGCAATGAATGAACCCAGGACTTATTCTCTATTAGCAACTTACCATCATGTCGATGTTTTGAGCAATTACAAATATCTTTCTGAGCACCAAGTTGAAAAACTTATATTTAACCTCAGTAAAATATCATGCTCATTAGATCCCATGCCCACGAAACTTCTTCTACAATGCATCGACATATTGATTCTTGTGTTTACATCATTGGTTAATCTTTCTCTCTCGACTAGTCATTTTCCAATACAATGGAAAAATGCCCTCATCACACCATTATTGAAGAAAAACAGGTATTGACGCAGATTTTTAACAACTTAAGAGCTATAAGCAATCTGAAATACATATCAAAGTTGGTCGAGGGTGCTGCTACCCGGCAAATTATGGATCACCTCAATAACAACTCACCTTTGCCATGTACTCAGTCTGCATACAGACTAAACTGCACTGCTAATAATAAAGAGTGATCTATTGATGGTTATGGATTCCCAGAAAGTCACTCTTTTACTTTTAATAGATAGTAGTGCATTCGACACCATAGATCATTCTGGCTAATCAGAAACTTTAAAGACTATAGATATCAACAGATCAAAATAGATGATGTGATCTCTGATGATTTCTTAGTGCCTTTTGGAGTTCCACAAGGTTCTCGGATGGGTCCTTTTATATTTACTCTGTACACTTCTAGTCTCATTTCAAATGTTCAAACGAATTTTCCCGAGATATCATGCCACTGCTATGCAGATGACACACAGCTTTATGTATCATTCAGACCTGATGAACATGCTCAAGACCGATGATTTTCAACAACATGAAGCAAATAGTAAGCTTCTAATAACTTCAGACGTCTGTTTGATTATGATTTAAATTTGAATCATTTCAAGAAACAAAATAAGGCCATTGTCATGGAAACAGTATGTTAAAAAAGAGGTCATTTTTTAACCACCTCCCCCCCCCCCCCCCCCACAAAAAAAATGATCATAATCAATACAAGGGAACATTAGAAAATATATTTTAAATACAATTAAATAGGAAAAAGAGAAAAGTAGAGAATATATTCCTGTGAAACAATATGTCATAAGTTAATGTCTTCAAGTTCACCTTTTTGTATCTGGCTAGAGTTTTGCTTGGGTATTTAGTACTGGATGATTAACATGGACAAACTGCACTTGTTAACATGATCGCATTATATCTTTTTCATTCTAGTTCTAATGTTGTCTGACTGTTTTTAATGCTTCATTGTATTCTTTGGCTTGGCCGGGGTAATATCTGTAAACCGCTAGACACACACACACACACGCACACACACACACACACACACACACCGTTGTATCCAGGCGCGTACGCAGGGGGGGGGGGTGGGGTTAAACCCCCCTTGATTTTTTTTTTTATGTGTACGTTTTGTTTATGTTTTTTGTGAAAACCCCTCCCCCCTTTTGAGTTTTTTTTTTTTTTTTTTAATTATGCCAATGGCTGACCTAAAAAAGGTGACCTTACCCCCCCCCTACGAAACAAAATGTCAAACTATCAAATTTCGTGACCAAAAAAAAAAAAAAAAGTGTCCGCTTACCTCCCCCCCCCCCCCCCCCCCCCCCCGGCGCGATTTTCAAATTTTCGGGAGCAAAATAATAAAGCTGAGTCGTTGTGAAATTTTGGGCCCGATTCTAACCCCCCCCCCCCCCCCCCCCCTCTTGAAAAAATCCTGCGTACGCCAATGGTTGTATCGATGTATGTACATTATATACGAATTATTTATTGATCATCAACAGAAGCAAAATGCTAGGCCACGAACTTTTCGAAGCGTGACCAGATTCAAAGTATGCTTAAATGGGGGCATTGATGTATGTAGAAAAAACAGGATTAAGATCCCATGCAACGCTTCGAAATGTGAAAGAAGAGAAAAATAAAATAAAGTTGAGATACGACCTTTATGTCTGAACGTTGCATAATGCAATTCGTATTGGTATCTTATTCCATCTCAGAGTGATTATAGACGTTATTTTTAAGGATAATACCGTTTAAGCTGTCCGGGTTTTTGAAGATAATGCCTCAAAACAAATCGAACAAGCTGTTTATTTCTTTATTCATGGTCTGTTTCTACTGATTATCTATTTTCATTGCCAACCCTCGAAAACGAATTTATTATGCATTTCACGTAGGAAAGTTTGCATAGGAGAACTATATAAATATATCTCTATATATGTATGTATACTTTATATACGAATTATTTATTGGGGTTAGTTTGCTTTCCAATAGATCCGTACAATATGGCACAGCTTTAGGAGCCCCAGGATGCTCTCGAGTTTATTTGACTCTCAAGAGAAAGTGTCTCTTAGACATAAAGAGAGGTTTTTTCTTAAAGAGAAGGTTGAGTTCTGGGAAGAGGTGAAAAATAATGTAGTAGTACGCTCATTTAGAGCAATTGTTGCGTCTCAATTCCTCCACTCCCCGATCTCCATCTAATCACCCTCAAAATAACAACACATCTCAGGTGAATGATGGTGCTTGCTGGCATTGTGGGAGGTTTGGTCATTTTGCTAGAGCCTGTCCAGTAAAAAAAAGAGAGGAAAGAGGTTACCGATGGCAGGGAAAGGGTCGTCCTCCACTACCAGGGGCGAGGTAAAGAGGGAATAATTTGGAAGAAAATGGAGTAGGTATTTTAAGTGAATTGATGGAGAAAGGTCCTAGGGTTACTGTTTTGTTAGTCAATACTCTTTGTGAGTACATGTAGTTGTTTATGTCATTGGAGGAAAAGTTTGGTATTTTAATTCTCTTTTGCGACTAAAAAGGCATTGAGAATTCGGTGATAAAATATAAACATTTTAAGTTTTGCTAACATTC